CCCCAGGAGCCCAAAACCTGAGAAAGCCGAGGAGGATTGTTTTCCTTTTCCTTTTTTTCTCTTTTTTTAAAAAAATTATGAGATGGGAGGGCCCAAACAATACCCAGGAGTCCTACCCTTGGTGGACTATAGATCCTTCTTGAGGCTATACCACCTTTCCCTCCCTCACATCTTGAGAAAAACATCAGCTTTTCTTTATAACAACAGCTGAGGAAAGTGCCAGGGAAGTACAGGTGTTAAAGGGAGTCCAAATTCCATCCCTCCTTTTTTAATCAGTTAGAAAATGTGCTGGGAGAGACCCTTTCCTTTCTAAGGCCACCCCACTCCCAGCCTGGCCTCCTCCAGCCCTCGTACTATGCTTGTCCCAGCACTTCCTCTGCCTCTCAATCCCATCCTGAGAGCTCCTCCATGAAGCCCTTTGGTTTCCTCACCAGTGTGGCTGCGCTTGTGCACCATGAGCACGTTGGGTCCGATACAGACCATACCACAGACATCACACTTGAGCTTGCCATTGGGTAGTCGGATGCCACCAGGAGAGTGAGGCTCTGGCCCACTCCCATCACAGTAGCCCAGGGGCTCCGACAATGAATCTTCCACAATCACGCTGTCATCCTTTTCCAAGAGCCGCTCATCTGGCCCCAGCAGTCTGCTTGACTCCTCATCGCTGTACATCTCCACCTTGATGGAGTTGGCTGGAGGGTGGGATGGTGTTTAGAACATAGACAGGCAAAGGGGAACCTGTTCCCAGGCCAGAATGCCACTCCTGAATCTCCAGGCCCTGAGACATTCAGGCCTAAAAAGGGGACAACATCCTATTATCCTGGGTGGTGATATCAGAGTCCTGCTGGAACCTGAAACAACCTTTTCTTTCTCTCCCACCCATCACACAAATAGGCCTCGAGAGAAAAAAGTTAGGGTACAGAGGATGTCTTTTGTCACTGGAGAGAGGAGGTAGCTAAGGGGAGCCTCTTTCTCCACTCTCTTGTCATTAAGAAAGATGCCTGGCTTGGCCCTGGGCAGGAAGCCAGCAAGTAACAGTGGAAGGAAAACAGTCCTAGGTAGACTGAAGGGGGACAGCAGGCTAAGGAGAGAGCAAAACTGGAAGACAGATGTGGTTTACATTACCCTCCCACACCATAAGACTGAACCCCTCTACCCCCCTCCATAAAATCCTAAGGCTGGGGTAGTGGGGGTAATAAAGGAGGGAGGAGCCATTGAGAAGGCTTTGGCTCTGGCTGTGACCTACATTCCCAGTTATTCCAACAATTTAGAGTATGTTACAGATCTAGGGCCAGCTGGGAAGGGACTGTCATGGGGACCCTGTCTGGGCAGGAGAATGGGGTATGGGGAGATGGGGAGGTCCTTTAACTCTCTATTTCCTATCTAACTCTACCTAATGACCATTTCTATCTACCTGCTTCTTCAATTCCAGAATTTCTCTTTGGAGCCTTTACCTTAATCCCACCCATGCCTCTTTTAATTCCACCCTAGTCTGGCAGTGATCTCCTTTCAGAAGCTAGGAAAACCCTCAACACTCGGCTCCTTAGTGCTTTTAGAGACTCTGAGCAGAAAACCAGAAGGAGTTGACAATGGGGAAATGGTTGCCAGTGGAAGTAAATTGAGGGCCAAATGCAAATGGGGGTGCCTAGTGCCAGGAGGGGTAGAAGGTTGCACTTACCACTGAGTGAGCGACTGGGAGAAGAGTGCTGGCTGTTAGGGGTGCTCACCGAGGGCCCCACTGGGGCCCCAAGGAACTCCTTCTCCAGAGATGAGTCCCCGCTACCTTGGAGGAGAGAACAAGACGGCAGGTAAAGCTGGAGCTGGAGACATCTACTGTCTATTGCCTAATCTTTTAAAAAACTCAGTTAAATTTCACAAACATTTATTTCATAGCCATGTATAAGGCAGTGTTGTATGTTGGGCACCATACCTTATGCCCTGCCAGTTTGGGTGCCTGGTGCTGACTTCCGAGAGCTCCGTGGCTGGGCCTTGCCTACTCTACCTTTATCTAGGCCTGAGAGGAAGAGCATCATTGCCTGACGTCCACAGGAAGCAGGGCTGGGGCTGGGCGGGCCAGGGCGGAGAGGAAAATGGGGGCCTCAGGAGGGAGGCAGTTCAGGACAGATGTTCTTCCCTACTGTTCCTTTCCAGAATCCCGAACACCAGATTCAGGATCTTCAGAAAGGGCAGCTGGAATTGTCCTGAATCTAATTATAATATTAGTAATAATAATAATAATAGCAACTAATATTAATTGAGTGCTTACTATGTGCCAGGTGTTATTCCACGCACTTGAATTATCTGATTTAATCTTCACAACAACCCTATGAAGTATTGCTGATATTATCTTAATTTTCAGATGAGGAAACTGAGGCACAAAAGAGGTTATGTTACTTGTCTAAGATCACATACCTGGTAGTGGTGAAACCGGGATCTGATCATAAGCAATAAGTGCCCATGTCCTTAATCACCACCTACACAGCCAACTGGGAGTCACTGTCTCAGGAGGGGAAAGTTGGGCCCATTAAGATTTTCTAAATTCAGCAAAAATTTGACTACTCTAGAAAGCTTTCTATCTGACCTGATTCCAATCACACATTTACTACTTGATGTTTCCTGGACAGCTTAATAATCAGTTTATTCTCAATATATTAATTTTAATTTGTTGACAAATTGATTTGTAAAAATGCTTTTTGAGAATTTCATAATGTTTTTCAAAATTAGATAACATACCTGAAGAAATGTCTTTTTTAAAAAAAATCCCTCCTCCCCACAATCTTCTGCACAAATATATAGGTGAAATAAAAACAAATGTAGATAAAACACACACATAGACACATATCACATATGTAGATACACATAAAGAGAACATACCTACTGGGATAAACATACCAATAGCCTTCTACATTATTTGCTAACATGAACATGCATGGATGTGTGCACACAGGCCTAAATATGGAAGGGGGGAGGAGAGAGAGAGAGAGAGAGAGAGAGACCCTAAAAGTCATCCCTAAAGTCTACCTATTAGTACTTTACCCAATTGCCCAGCTATGCACATACTTACTTTCACAAAATAAAGATTCCATTATAAAATGGTTGGAGTCTTGGGCCTGAGGCAAGAAATCCGGAACACACCCTCCTGAGGGATCCCTCTCCAGCTTTGGTCAGTGGGAAGAAAACAACCACTCAGGACTTTGGGACCATTTCTCATTCATATCCTCTCCTAAAAGTCCCATTTTCCCCATTTTATCCCATCAAAGCCTGAGGAAATTTCTTCACTATCCATAGAAAAAGCCTTAAGGCTTGAATCTGAATTTTCCCAGCTGGGCTGTTTAGGTGAGCCATGGTTACCTAAAAAGTTGCCCCAAATCAGTACCACACCCATATCACGAAGTGAGCATCTCAGGATTGTGGGTTGTTGAGCCAGTTTTAAAATATGTCCTTTCAGCTAAGTGTAGGATTTCCTAAGGTTAAAAGGGCTGAAAAGGGTATCTCCTTATTCCTTTTCGAACATTAGTGCTGACTTGCCCAAAGTCACTTGATGTTAGTAATGGGGGAAGAACAGGGCTTTGACCCTGGTGCTGAGGCCTTGACCCTAAAAGGATGAATGAGCTTGCTGGAAATCCATTGCTGGTCCCAGCTTACTAGACTGAGGCTGCCTCTTGGGGTCAGGGGCTCGCTGTATGGGGAAAAATATCCTTAAAGGGATACTTAAGAGACATTAAGGGGAAAGCATCCTTTGTGGCTCTACCAATTGAGGCCTGGAAACAGGAGGAAGAGAAGGAGCCTCCAGTAACTCCAATAACTCAAGAGGCTCTTTAATGCTTTTGCCCTCCCTAGGAAAAGGTAAGAGGGAAAACATGCTGAAGTCTACTTTTATGGGGCTAATACGTAAGCATGAATCTGTTTCAGGGGTCAGAAAGCCCTTCTGGGTACCCAGGGATTTTGAAATCTAGCCAGAGGGCAAATGGAGCTAGAGTCGATTTAGGAAGTTCAGCAGTTCCTCTCTCAAGTCCCAGAAACCCCAGCGAGGGAATTTCAAATGCCTGGGACTCCCAAGAAATCCCAGACTGTCAAAACCAAGAATTAAGGCTGCTCTCAGGTCTCAGAGAAATTTTCTTGGTTAAAGTCATCATAGATTGGCTGAACCCCCAGAAGGCAAAAGCCAAATTATGAGGTTCACATCAGAGGAACTGGAAGGTGGGTAGAGGGCAAGAAAAGCAGGAGAGAGAGAAAGGAACTGGGAAACAGCCCACAAGCTAAATGTGTTTCACATGTTGAAGGAGACTAACCCTCCGCTCTTGCTCTTGCTGCCCTTCCTTGATCCCTTCAAAGAGCCGCTACCTCTAGGGAATAGCCATGAGCTTGAAGCTCCTCCACACTTCTCTGCAAGGGACTTCATCATAACTGCTTTCCCTTTCTTGACCATGGGCTCCAGGGTGGCAGGATGCTAGCCTGCTGGCAGGGAATACTAGAGCAAAGAAAGCCGCCCATCCCCAGCTCTATTGTGGGGAGGTGAGGCCCCTCAGATCTCTGTCAGGCTGAGGCATCTAAGGCCAAGGCTCCTCTTCCTTACCTGATTCTCTTTACTATCCATTCCCACCCAGGCCTGTCTCGGCATCTCACCCCAGACAGCTCTACCCCTGTCCCCAAGGCCTAATCAAGATGTCACCACAGCTCCCACTGTCCAAGTCGCCGTCTTTGCTTAGCAACACCAAACACCCTTTCCCATCCTCCGCAAGTGTAAGGAGGAACGCCCCCTCCCCCGCTACACACACACAGCCCCATCCTCTCCCTCTCCTCAGGCTTGGGAGTTGTTACTGAATTGGTTCCCTAGCCCTAGCACCCCCTTCCCCCCCTCCACTAGCCGCCTTCTGCCTGAACTTACATTATCCTTCCCTTGCCGGTGAGACCCTGGGGTGCGAACGCAGCCGCCGCCTTGGAAACGGCGAGGGAGTGCGGGTGGTGTGTGCATGTCTGCGTCTCGGTGGCAGGCAGGGGTGAGCCCAGCCACTCACCTTCCAGGAAGCGTGGATTCCTGGAAGTGAGGGGAACCGCCGTCATTTCGCAGGCAGCGGCAGCGGCACGGTGAGCAGGGGCCCACGGCTGCAGCCAGCAAGAACAGCTCAGCCCAGGGTGTATGTGTGTTGAGTGTGTGAGTGTGTGTGTGAGAGAGAGAGAGCACTAGCACGCTTGGATGTGCTTGGGGAGGGGGCTGGAGAGAATGTATATGTGTGTATTGTGGGGGGATGCTAGGCTACAGCATCCCTTTTCCAAGACAGTGAAGGGGGTGGGGGGTAAGGGGTGCACAGGGAGGGGGAGGCAGATGCCGTTGCCCTCGTGCCCAGCAGACAAAGAGGAACTGCACAACAAATGCCTGAGAGAGGCAAGAGTGTGTGCAAGGGATGGGCCTGCTGGTGGGAGGGAGAAAGGGGGGGCCCACAGGGAAGGCCCAATCCTCTGCCAGCTGGGGAAGCTAAGGCCCCAGAGGTCATGGGGCCTAGGACACCGGGCAGCTTCAAGGCTCTCAGATCGGCAGAAAGCCCTTCCCCCACCAAACTCAGGCACTCTTTCCCTCCTTTTTCTCTCCTCCTCTAGGAGGGAGGTTGTTCTCAGGATCTGGGGACTGACAGCCCTCTCCTTCCCAGTAGCAAGAGGGCCCAGCACAGTCTGGTCTCAGGCTAGTGTTGTTCTATGGCCCTGAGTCCTTTCAGATCCCAGGCAAAAAGGATGGTACAGTCTCCCCCTGGCCCTCCACCTCCCCATCCCCACCCCCAGGGCGCCAGCAGCCTACAGCTCTGGATGAATCCGCTCTCTATCAGGACGAGGCCTCTGCTCCCTTCCCTTCCAGACGAACAGCTCACTGGCGAGCTGACCTACTTTGGAAGACTACATTTCTGATTCCAAGAATTTGGGGGTGGGAAGTGCAGTGAAACTTTGGGCTGCCTACCCCTGGATCCTTTTTTACTATGGTTCCCTTAAACATTTCACAGTTCCAGAAAACTTGGGGCAAGCACTGCTTGGTCAATTGATTGCATGAGGAAGGTTTGAGCAACTCAGTTTCCCTTGAAAGACAGGAGTAAAGGGGGGGGGGGCGGTATGCAGATCTGTGAAGTAAATTAATGAACTCCTTCTTTTCTGTCCTCTCTGCCACCCCCGGGGGGAATGATGTGTACCTTTAGAAAGAGAAAGGGGGAGAAAAGATGGATTTTCTGAATCAGGTTCTGTGAGGTGGTAAAACCTCTTTGAAGAATGGGAGAGGTATAGCAGAAGAACTGTGATGACTTGTGAATTGCTGTGGCATGCTTTAGGAGGGCTGTACACTGCAGCCTTTCTCTGCTTCTATATCATCCCAGGAGAGATGGGTGAGTGATGGACTCTCAGATCCTCCTCAAGTGGACTGTCTTAGCCATGCCCAGTCCTGCAGGGGGCACTTTTCAGAGCTAATCTTAGCCCTACCTTGACTTTCCTTCTCTACGGCAGCTGCTGACATCTAGAATTCTCAAAGTAAAAATGAGGGGTTTCTGGCCTTTATTTTCATTTAAAAACCATCCTGTGCAGAGGCTGCTTCTTATCTAGGAAATGTCAACCTGCTGAAAGCAGGGAAAGCTTGGTTTTATAGCACAGTGAAGCAAATATCCTCAGAAGTTTTCCACTAATATCCAACATTCCCCAGCCACCTTTGTAGTTTCTTATTCACCTTTCTTATGTCAGGGACTGGTTTTTATCCATTTGAGCGTTCCCCAGCACTAAAGCAGGGTTCTGAGTGTACCTGTTCATTAGTGGCTTTCTGAAGAGGCTTAAATGAGCAGGAGAAAGGAGGATTGGTTGGTTCCTCAGAAGAGCCATGACTTTAGTTCCAATAAAGTCTCTTTCAATTTAATCAGTCCACCTGATCCCTGTCATCTGTCCAGCTTGTGGTAGGTAACGAATGCCTTTATCCATTCCCTCCTTAAATGAGAAAGGGGTCAGAGTCAGCGTCTTACCTCCCATTACCCAGGTGTTGCCAGTGATTCTCTTATGTGTGTCTGACCCATCTTGCTATCTCCCTTAGTACATGCCAGTAATTCTTTCACTGGTCCACTTTAGAGTAAAAGAATTAGCTCTAGATCATTTCCACAATGGCGCTTGGATTTCTGATGGGGATACTCATCACATCAAAACCCAATTCTAGCTTCCCTTACCTCTAATAATTCCTACCCAGAAAAGATCCCTTCCTTCCCTTCTGTCTTAGGCCCTTTCCTACACTCTTAGAGAGGGAGCTGGATAAAGTTCCTAATTTCTTTTTAACTTGTTAAACTTTGGGAGGAACTTGTTAAAGTTCCTAATATCTTTTCATCTTGTTAAACTTGTTAAGTCTGATTACTTTCATATCTCTAAAAGCCATTTATGCTATAAGCTGTGATCTCTTCTGCCTCAGTAAGAATACTTGGCAAGTGTGAAAAGCTATAACATGTTAAGATAGTGGAAAAGGGTTGGGAAGAATGAAAATTGGGCTCTGTATGTCTTCCTTCAAAAACTGTAAACTATGGGCTGGCCCGTGGCTCACTCGGAAGAGTGTGGTGCTGATAACACCAAGGCCACGGGTTCGGATCCCATATAGGGATGGCTGGTTAGCTCACGGGGTGAGCGTGGTGCTGACAACACCAAGTCAAGGGTTAAGATCCCCTTACCGGTCAACTTTTAAAAAAAAATAAATAAATAAAAAACTGTAAACTGTGGCCCACTGGCTGAATTCAGACCATAGATGACTTTGATTTGCTCCATGGAACATTTTTTCAAATACTGAGTCATTATATAAAAATGGTGACATTTCATAAAAAAATTTGGATTTCTGATTTCTCTTGAAAAGTTGGAAGTTTTGGCCACGTTAAACATACATTCCTGCACGGTAATGACTGGTGGACACTAAATAGCTGCTGTCCCTTAAGGTAGGATATATGTTCTCCAGTTCATGACAGTCCCTACTTTTTTTTTTTGAAAAGATGACCGGTAAGGGGATCTTAACCCTTGACTTGGTGTTGTCAGCACCATGCTCACCCAGTGAGCTAACCAGCCATCCCTATATGGGATCCGAACCCGCGGCTTTGGTGTTATCAGCACCGCACTCTCCTGAGTGAGCCACGGGCCGCCCATGACAGTCCCTACTGTTCTCTTCTGCTTATTATCCTAATTACTTCACTCATTTACATACCCACCTGGCCCTTGCAGGCCTTTGAGGTCTGAAACCATGCTCCACTCTCTATCTGGATGGGACAGAATTTCATGTGTGGCTGCGACCTCAGAGCACAGGAGAAGGAATCACATGTTCTTTCCATCTATCATTCCTCTAATAATTTCCACTCATATTCCCTTCCTACTCCTTTCCCCTCCCACTGTTCCCCAAGAAGTTGGGAGGAGAATCACTATTTAGGGAATGTAAAATCACCAAAATAATTGCACACTACCAAGTACTACCAAACATGAGTGTCAGTTCTGAGACTAGTTCTGTGCCTAGGCTAAAGGCTCTCTGCCCTGCTCCACAGAAGACTGTCTGCTCCCAGCCCCTTATGAACAGAACACACAAGAAGTCATACCAGACATATAGGAGCGGCCATTGCAGTCTTCTATGTCCATCTTAAAGAGATTCTGCTGAAAGAGAAAATAGCAGCTATTAGAAGCTAGATCTGATGGGTCGGCCCGTGGCTCACTCGGTAGAGTGCGGTGCTGATAACACCAAGGCCCCGGGTTCGGATCCCACATAGCTTGAAGATTCAATTCCTAATAACTTCGTATAGCATACATTATACGAAGTTATACGATGAGCGTGGTGCTGACAACACCAAGTCAAGGGTTAAGATCCCCTTACCGGTCATCTTTTTTTAAAAAAAGAAGCTAGATCTGAGAAGGTCTTTAACATTTTGAAAATAAAATTCTGAGGGCCGGCCTGTGGCTCACTCGGTAGAGTGCGGTGCTGATAACACCAAGGCCCCGGGTTCGGATCCCATATAGGGATGGCCGGTTCGCTCACTGGCTGAGCGTGGTGCTGACAACACCAAGTCAAGGGTTAAGATCCCCTAACCGGTCATCTTTTAAAAAAAAAAGAAAAGAAAATTCTGAGAAGATCTTTAACACTTTGGAGTTAGCAAGAAACCTAAAGGATCACTTAAGGGTGATCTGATACTATTCTAAAGAGGAAAACCCCCATACTTTGCCCTTGTGAAAAAGACAATGTACCCTGACTTACAAACCCCAAGGTTTCCTTCAACCTTCAACTTCTGCAGGTCTCCCTAGCTTTTGGGGTGGAAACATCTTAATACAGAGTGGTCCTGGATTTTGAGAGTAGACCCTCTCCCTGTAGGTGGAGCTGATCCTTTAAGAGACAGGTTACACCTCAGCCCCCAGGAGGCAAAGAAACAGCCCCATGGAGACTCTATAACTCAGTTAAGGGTGGGGTATTACGAAGAGGAAAAAGCTGGTTTCAGTCATTCCAGGGATTCTTTTTGGGGTGTGTGGCAGGAGGAAGGGTTTCAGGAAAGAAGATGGAGAGCAGCCCACCTCAGGGCTCATGGATAAGTCCTCTACTGAAGGTGTAATAAACAAATTAAACCTTTAAGTAGCTTTCCCCACCCTCTTGTCAATCACTTTGCTATATTTATTTTTAAAAAAGGCAGGGGGCAGTCTGAATTTAAAATGCAGGTTAGTCTATTTGAGGGAAAGCAAGCAGTAATTGGCAGTAGAGTATTAAACAATCAGGAACTGAGAACAATTAAAAGTGATAATTTGTTGCAATGAATTATCTCCCTAGAAGACTGTGGGAGGAGGAAAAAAAAAAATCTACCTGGTGGAAATTTACATACATCCAAAATTGCTTTCACCACCATCTAATGAAAAATAAGTGCCCCAGAGGCTGATTTGGGGGAGCAAGATTGGGGAAAGGGAACAGCCTGAGATGCCACCAGGATTCTTGGTCTCTTTAAAGTATCTCACTAGGCAGATGGATGAAAATTTGGTTTGCTTATAATACTATATTGAGAGAGGTGGGAGGTGGGGGTGAGGGGGTGCAGGAAGGCACAGGGGAAAACTCTGTTTCCCTGCAGACCCTCCTC